TTCTCGTAGTTCTCCTGCATCGCCATCCCAAAATTTGGGGTTTTCACCCCAAAATCCCAAATCCCTGCAAGGAGAAACCCCAAAAAATCCCCGTTAATCCCAAAAATCCCAAATCCCGATCCCGGTTTTGATCCCGATCCCGGTCCCAAATCCCAAATTCTGATCCCAAATCCCAAATCCCGATCCTGGTTTTGATCCCGATCCCGGTCCCAAATCCCCAATCCCGATCCCAAATCCTGATCCCGGTTTTGATCCCGATATCCGTCCTAAATCCCAAATTCCGAACACAAAACCTGATCCTGGTTTTGATCCCGATCCCGGTCCTGATCCCGATCCCAAACCCCAAATCCTGGTCCTGGTTCTGACCCCAATCCCGATCCTGGTCCCAAATCCCGATCCCAAATTCCGATCCCGGTTTTGATCCCAATCCCGGTCCCAAATCCCAAATTTCAGTTCCAAATCTCGATCCTGGTCCCGATCTCAAATCACAAATCCCAAATTCCGGTTCCCAAATCCGATCCCAAATCCCGATCTCAGTGCCGATCCCCAATCTTGGTTCTGATCCCAATCCCGATCCCAAACCCCAAACTCCAAATCCCAGTTTTGGTTCTGACCCCGATCCCGGTCCCAATCCTGATCCGGTTCTTACCCGATCCCAATCCCAAACCCCAAATCCCGGTCCTGGTTCTGACCCTGATCCCGATCCCAAATCCCAAATTTCGATCCCAAATCCCAGTCCTGATCCCAAATCCCAAATTCCGGTTCCAAATCCCGGTCCCGGTCCCGATCCCAAATGCCGCTCCTCACTCTAAATCCTGATCCCGGTTCTGACCCGATCCCAAATCCCGCACCCCGATCCCAAACCCCAAATCCCAAACCCCAAATCCCGCTCACCCTGATCCCACTGCCATTCCAAATCCCAAATCCCAAATCCCAAACGCAAACCCCAAATCCCGATCTCGCTCCTCACCCCGATCCCGATCCCAAACCCCAAATCCCAAATCCTGATCCTGTTCCCGGTCCCGATCCCAAATCCTGATCCCGATGCTCACCCCAATCTCGATCCCAAACCCCAAATCCCGCTCCTCATCCCGTTCCCGGTCCCGATCCAAAATCCCGATCCTGATCCCGCTCCTCACCCGATCCTGTTCTCGGTCCCAAATCCCAAATCCCGGTCCCATATCCCGATCCCAAACCCCTCTCCTCACCCGATCCCAATCCCGTTCCCGTTCCCGATCCCGCTCCTCACCCGATCCCAAATCTTGATCCCAAATCCCGATCCCAAATCCCGAATCCCGCTCCTCACCCCGTTCCCGATCCCGATCCCAAATCCCAAATCCCAAACCCCAAATCCTTCTCCTCACCCCGATCCCGATCCCGTTCCCGTTCCCGTTCCCGGTCCCAAATCCCAAACCCCAAACCCCAAACCCCAAATCCCGCTCCTCATCCCGATCCCGATCCCAAATCCTGATCCTGATCCCGCTGCTCACCCCAATCCTGATCCCAAATCCCAAATCCCGATCCCCAAATCCCTCTCCGATCCCGTTCCCGTTCCCGCTCCAGATCCCAAATCC